ATGCGGTAGCTACTGAGAGAATCGTTGCAGCAGAAACAATTTTAACACGACTAAAAGAACCACTTACAAAATGTTTTTTACAATTTCTAGAGTTTGTTTTACCATTTTTTAATAACATGAATAAAGAAATGCAATCATCGCTGCCAAAAATTCATAAAATACATTCAAATTTATCTGCAATTTACAAAACAATTCTAGAGTGTTTTATAAAAAGAGAAATAATCCTTGAAAAGTCCCTTGATAAAATTGATTTCAAAAATCCACAAAATTTTCTTCCGTTAAATGACATTTATTTGGGTTCTAAAGTATTATTGTCCGAGAACAATTTAACGAACGGAGAAAAACACATTTTGCGTACACGATGTTTGGATTTCTTTATCGAAAGCTGTGTACAAATCAGTAAACGGTTTGATTTTAGTGACAATATTTTAAAAAAAACTAGAGATAATAGATCCTCATCATGTACTCTTAGGCAAAACCTCCACCATAATTCCCTTAGCACGACACTTTCCAAATTTGATTAAGGAGTCTGAAATGCAAGTATTAGATAATGAGTGGCGATTATTGCGAAACACCAAAATTACTAATACAGGCTCTATTGAACAGTTCTGGGTTTCCATTAAAAATATATGCTATGGAGACTCCACACCAATGTTTTTAAATGTATCAAATTTTGTAATTAATTTATTATGCTTGCCGCACTCCTCTGCAAACGTGGAGCGAATATTTTCGCAAGTAAATTTGCTAAAAACTAAGCAGCGAAATAAATTATCTACTGCCAGTATTGTGGGGTTGCTCCACAGCAAAAGTTATTTAAATTCAAAAGATGAATTATGTTATTCTTTTAAATCTGAAGATCTAATAAAACTACATAATTCTCAAATGTATAAACCGACATCATTGGAGCTAACTGATTCAGAGCCAGAATAATTTTTTTAATTTTGTCACGGTCCGTGATTTAGTTTTTGTTTGATTTTATTATTAATAAAATTGTATTTATACCTATTTATTTTGTTTAAATTTACATTTATGGAGTTTTTGATGTTATACCTACATCTTATGTGATATTTAAAATTTAATTTGTTTGTTATATATTCTGTTACTCAGTTTATGTACACAATCAACGATTCGCGTTTATATGTTATTATTTATGTTTTTATATTTTTTTATATTTCTCAGCACACAAAATGTCCAGCGGACGTCCCATGGACGTCATGCGAACATTGGACCTTCAGAGGACATCCATTGGACGTCCCCGGGATATTTGTGTTATATGGGTTTGTGCGTGTACTTGTGTTCCTCTATAAAAAAATATATTTTTTTTAAATCTCCTGTTGAAAAAAGTGATCTCCTGTTTTTTTGGCTACTTTCCTACTGTTGACAAGAATTTCCATCTGGCAACACTGGTCCTGTCAATTAAATTATTTTGACAAGAAATCATAGGTGTATGACATTTAATTTTTTAATGAAAAAAACTTAAATTATATAAAGCATGTTTATTCGTAATACAAACAAAAAGAACAAATTATTTATTGGGCGACCAAAATAAATAAATTTAAATTTAAAAAGAAATAGTATACTACGACTATAACAATAATTATTATAAAAGATGAGCCAACCAGAGTTGGATGGGCTCTGAAAAACCGGCCTTGGCAATTTTTTCATTCAGCACTCCCTCCGGCTTTATCCTACATAATCTTACACATTTGTAATGCTATAAAACTCCATTAAAAAAAAAAAAAAATACTTGGTAGAACCACCATTCTTCTCTATAACATTTTGTAATCTCCTAGGCATGGAACTAATTAAATTTTGCATATCGTAATTTTCCTCCAAATTGTTCCACTCATTTTGAATTGCATTAATAAGGTCTTCTCTATTTCTTGGTCTAAATTCATATTTATATATTTTATTTACGAGATATCCCCAAATATTTTCGATTGGGTTTAAATCGGGGCTTCTTGACGGCCAAGGAAGCGTTGTAATTTGATTTTCTTCCAGCCAATTATGAACCACATGAGCAGTGTGAACTGGCGAGTTATCCTTAAAATGAAAAAAAAAAAATATTTTTTGATCAGGAAAGATAAATCATAAAGTGTTACGTGTTGAAACACAAAATCATTATCAAATCTTTCTTGCACTGACGGGAGCATTACATCGTTTAAAATTTCCACGTATCGATTCCCAGTTAATCGGCCTTCTACAATATGAATTATACCAGCCCCTGAAGATGATATCCACGCCCACACGTGGACAGAAAATCTTCCGCTGTTGTCAGTTTTGTGGAGGTATTCTTCATCAAACTTATGGTTTCTGGGACGATAAACCCGCAGTTGCCCATTGTAGCAGGATTGAAATATTTTTTCATCTGAAAAGACTACTCGCTCCCAATATTCAGCGTTTTGATTTAAAAAATTATTTGCAAACTCCACTCTTGCCTCTTTATTAACATCCGTCAAGCGAGGCTTTTTAGCACTCACGCAGTTAAATAAACCTTGTTCTCGCAACCGTTTTCTTGCCGTCCTAACAGATGCTGGGAAGTTGGTTTCCTCTTTGGCTTGAATGGAGTTAGAAAATGGGTTTTGCCTCACATATTCAACCAACTCGTTGTCGTTTACTGGAGTTGTCTTTCTTGGACGCCCAGAACCCATTACCCTACTCAGGTCACCAGTTTCCACCCACTTTTTGTTAAATTTTTGAATAGCGCTTTTGCTGCAGTTTATTTTATCTGCTATTTGTTGTCGAGACCATCCTTCTCCAATTTTGGCGATAATATAGCCTTTCTCTGCTTCACTTAAAGTATGGTAAGGCATAATTAAATAATGACTTTATTTAATTTAAGATGACGTTACTTAATTTTATAAAATTATTTTTGAAATGCCACTTGTGACAACCAAAGATAATACAACCATATTTACAAAGGGAAAATTAGTCGATTACTTTTTATCGGCCGCAATAGTACATATATGTACATATATGATAAGCTTAGAAAGTAGTATTATCAGTGTTTTAAATTTAAGGTAACTTTTGCACAGAAAGTGCATTATTTTGTTTATTTTTTTTTCAAATAAAATTTAATCAATATTTTTGGTTTTTGTGCTGTCCCAAAATCGATACATACGTCATAAATAGGTTGATAAAATGACGTCGTATTAACGTAATTATACGTTACAATTACGTCGATAAAACATATATTCTACGTCATAAGACGACGTCATTTTACGTCACTTTGGTGACGTCTTTGGGCTGTGACATTTTCACGTAATATTTTGATCGATTCGACGTCATCCAACAGGTCAAAACGACGTAATGGGTGACGAACAAAATACGTTAAAAGAACGTCATACTGTCAGCTGGGTTTAAGGTATGTAATAAGTAATAATTGATATTTCGTAAACTAGATAACTTATTTTTTAATATTTTTTAAAAAATGTTTGTTAAAACTTGTAAATAACACCATAAAATCGTAAACAAAAATCCAATATGGAGGCTAAAATTTAATCGCTGTTAAATAGCTCTAGTGATTTAATCGCTTATTTAAACGAAATTTATTCGAAAATTCAAGGCTTTTGATTGGTTCATATTATAATGAGGGAAATAATCACAAGCAAAATAAACTAACGAACTGTCAAATCTGTTAGTTCTTTTAAACACAAAGGTTTTAAAGCCATCCTAATTTATTTACTTCTGTACACACTTTAAAACCTAATAAACATTCAAATTTAATTAAGAGTTTGAAAGCGATATTATTAAAAAGTGCATTAATTTTTGCTATTAAATTTAAAAAAAGTGGATTTATTTTATTAAAATAAATAGTTTTGGCATAAAGTATGGTTTTTCAATTTTTGAAAGCTCATGCAGACCAGCATTGCAAAAAAAGAATAAAATTGTATTTTTTTCAGACTACTTGAAGCAGTAAAAGCCAATTTAAGGCACTCTAGATATAGACATAAAATTTAATCAAAAAATGATTTGACCTGTCAAAAATTGACAGATTTTATTTTGAATCGAAATATGTAAAAATGTATAGGGTGTTTCATTAAAAAAAATAAAAATTGAGACCATTTCCGGGGAAACCGGAAGACAAAAATATGTTAAATATGTCAAAAAGTTCTAAAGTACACCTTATAAACCCCAGTTTTAGGACCCTAGATAAAATTCCAAATTTTTACGATAAACCACGAACTTACTAGAAAATGGCATTTTCATTAAAAAAAATAATAATTCCAAAACGACGAGTATAGCCAACTCGGGACTTATGTTCAAAGTTGTTCATATTGTCAACTTCAAACGAAAAAAATATAAATTAAAAAAAATGTAGCAATGTCAAAATTTTGACCTCATTTTTTTAGCCTTTTTTAGAAAAAACAATAAAAAAATCAGTGAATTCACTTAATTTTTTATATATTTTTTGTTTATGGTAAACATTTACCTACAAAAAGAGAAAAATCGATGTTTTTGTCCATTTTTTTTAAATTTCCTACTGGTGAGCAAAAGAAATTTAAGCAAAAAGAAAAAAATACGGGTCTCATCAATTTCGGTAAAGAAACTTAAAAAAAAATTCGTAACGACCTACACCTTTTTGCCTGGTAGATTTGAGATGAACAAAATTTATACTTCATCCTGATAATTTTATCTTAAAAACAAAGAAGATGAATAGAATATTTAACATGTAAAAGTAATTTAATTTTTTTGACTTAAGGACAAATTCTGTAAATATCTCCAAATAAATAGAGGGTGAAGAAATTTATATGGTTTAGTTTATTGAATTACAAAACAAGATATTAAACACGTTGATATTGGGTTTCAGTTCATGATAGAATGCATTTTAAGGTCATTCATTATTTTATTTTTAATTTAATTTAAAATTCAAATTAAACATCATAAAAAACGTCAAAATTTGTCATTATGTTTTAAATTTACTGTTCATCAGAATTTCATCGAAATATATTCAGAAATAATGATTTTACGAAATTAATTAAAAGGTAAGCAATACTTACTAGTTAGTTGTAACGAAAGTTTGTCCGATTTGGTACAGTGAAAAATATAGGGACCATAGTCCCGCAAACAGCGGGATTGTGCAGAACTTTTGGGACACAAATCTGAAAAAAAATGTAAACAATTAAAATTGAAAGCTTTCATTACGAATTTATTCACATATACAAGCATAAATTTAGATAACAAAGTGGAAAGATTTTTTTTACCAACGCCTGGTATCCATCCCTTTAACACGTTCAATGATTCTTTCCACAACTTCTAAAGTACTGTTAACACCACCCATATCGGGAGTCTTTATTTCGTCCTGACAAATGGTTTTAAAGATGGCTTCTCTAATCTGATCCACGTGTTTGAAATGACCGAAATGGTTCAGCATTTCCACGGCTGCATTCAGCAAAGCTATGGGGCTTATACGCGTTTCGTCGGGGTTATCATGCCTGTCAACCGCCTCAAAAACGGCGCAAGAATCGCCGTAGTTTTTCGAGCACAAAAAGCCCGGGCCCTTAAGGAGCCCGCAGACGATGTTCGAGATGACATCTCCGTACAAATTCGTCGTCAGAATCACGTCGAATTGTTTGGGGTTCTGCACCAAATTTTTGCACGTGGTGTCTATTTGCAGATCGTCGTGTTCTATGTCGGGGTATTCTTTAGAGACCTTTTGGGCGGTTTCTAGAAACAGACCGTCGGATAGTTGGTAGACTTGGGCTTTGTGCACCGTTGTCACTTTTCTTCGACTTTCCTTGCGCGCGCACTCGAACGCGTACCTCGCGGCCTTCTCAGAGTTGCCTCTCGTGCAGATTTTCATCGACTCCACAACACCCTTCACGTTTTGATGCTCCAAGTTGGTGTACTCGCCCTCTGTGTTTTGCGTGACGACTATTATATCAGCATCGTGCTCGGGCCGAATTTTCAGCAAGGACTGGGCGTGTAATACGTTGACATACAAGTCCAGGACTATCATCATTTTGGCGTCTCGTTGAGTGCTCTTTATGTTGTCGCCCTGCGTCTGTATTTTGCCTTTTAACGCGACCCTGTTGCGTTTAACCGCCACTATAGCATCGTCCAAGTCTTGATCGCTGCTCTCCTCGAACATATTCACAACCTCGAAGGTTATAGGAGCTCCAGAAGCAGTTATAACCTCTTCAACGTATTTCATCAGTTGAGGGCCCGATCCACCTCCGGGTACCATTGCGACGGTGTAAATGCCACCGTATAAAGACAACGGCAAACTTTTTTCTTCTTTGCTTTGCAACGCCTGTTGAATTTGAAAGTCCGACTTGTATCGCGCCATCAATTTTGTTAGTCGACTTAGGGTTTTCGCGCTCCGATATAGCCAAGACATTTTCCGCAAATTTTGTAATTTTTTATCGAAATTTTATTTGACATTTTCTTGTTTTGACTTTTTATATATTTTTTACACCGGATTATACGCTGAAGAAACGCGCGCCATCTGGTGGTGTGAATTCAAAAATTGTCGACAATACATTTAAAGTAAACGAAGTGCACATCATTTTTAAATAAATAAGTAGTTTTTTCGCAAAAGAGAAGAACATATTTTGTTCAATTCACGCACGATATTTGTGTTTCGCGTTACAAGTAAAAACTAAAAAACTTTGGTTTAGTACTCGATTTCGATTTATTATTCCTTATATCATTGATTAAAAAAACTCAACGCTTATATGCTTATATAGTTACGTTAGTGTGTGTATTTTATCTAAGTTGATCATGGTGAATTATTGTGTTTCAATTGTAAACATTCTTAAAGATTTGTTTTGCATTTTGACATTCTCAAAATGTATTTTTTACATTCTTAAATGTCTTGAAATTCTTAAATATGGTTTTGACAATCTAAAATTTGTTTTGACTTTCTTTTTTACATTCTAAAAATTATTTGGACGTTCTTTAATATGTTCTTAAATATGATTTTGACATTCTAAAATTTGTTTTGCACATTGGCATTTGTCTTAACATTCTTAAATATGGTTTTGACAATCTAAAATTTGTTTTGATTTTCTTAACCCTTAGATAGCTAAAAATTTTGCTGTAACTTTCTTTTGGAATCGAGTAGGCAACCTAGCTTAAAGCTATTTGTCAAATAACGTTTAAGGTTAGGTATGTTTAAGAGTTTAAGTTAATTTTTATTTATTCGAATAATTTTAGAATGTTAAGCTCTTAATAAATATATTTAATATAAGTCTAATTATTGTTATTTTAAAGATATTGAATATTTAAAATGATTTTTGGGTATCTAAGGGTTAAACTGTATTTTTTACATTCTAAAAATTATAAGTTTTTTAAAATGATTTATAGTCTTAAATATGATTTTGACATTCTAAAATTTCTTTTGACATTTTTAAAGATTTGTTTTGCATTTTGACATTCTTAAAATGTGTTTTTTACATTTTTAAATATATCTGACGTTCTTAAATATGGTTTTGACAATCTAAAATTTGTTTAATTGCACAGCTAAATCACGCACGTTATTTGTGTTACGCGTTGTAAGTAAAACCTAAAAAACTTTGGTTTAGAACTCGATTTGTTATTCCTTATATCATTGATTAAGAAACTCAACGCTTATATGCTTATAAAGTTACGATAGTGTGTGTATTTTATCTAAGTAATCATGGTGAATTATTGTGTATTTAATTGTAAATAAAATTCAAGAACTAAATCGTTGCATTTTCATATTTTGCCAAAGGATACAATTCGGTACGTATATTTGTTGGCGCAGAATTAACTAATGATAACTATATCTAATATAATTTATATTTAAGTTTGGACATTTTGAAGAAGTCTAACAAAAAATAATTGTTTTACAACATAACCTTAAAATCAAATATTTTTATACTCGAGTCCTCTAAAAAACGCCGACAACTGCATTTTAAACGACAAAATATACCTACGAATTCATGGAAACATAATATTATATATAATACACAATATAATACCGGTTCTTGGTATTTTACTGTTAAGTGGAGACTTTCTTAATCAACGCTTTTAATAATGCTAAATGCTGTTTGAATTTAGACAAACTATCTATTTTATGATTTTTACTACATTTAATGTTTACAATTTTCACGTAAATCGTTACTAAAATGTGTATTTATTGTATCTAATAGGTAGAATTTATATTTAAAGGTACTGTATGCAATTTATTTCTTCATTCGGATTTCCACTGTTTATTGGGAAACCGGTAAAAACTCAACCCAGCATTTCCTCTCGAAAAACACCCAACAACACAACAAAACGTACCACGGTTTTTTTTTCGATATTTTTAACGTTTTCCGGCTTTATTCTTAAAAGCTGAATTCTGGCCACGTGGTGGCGCTACTAGCGATGCTTCTTTAGCGTATGCATCATTTATATGTCATTAAAGATAGGCAACTGAGATTGCGCATAACAAAATGTCATTAAAGATAGGCAACCAAGATTGCGCATAATACAAACTGTGATTCTCTTACCCTGTAAACGCCAAAAAGCTGCCCAAAAGTGCCAAAACGTCCAGAGCGTAGTTCGTATTCAGGCCGAGATAGGGGGCCAACCAAAGCAAGGTGGGTTGATAGTGCACTTTGGCAGACAACGTTTTGTGTTTGCTGTTCTCCAACAACGAACTGGCCGGCAAAATTCCGTTATCGCCATATAAACCTGAAAAAATTACATTGGAGAAGGCATTAATTATATTTGGATCTTGTAAACCAATCGGATCACGGCATTCTCTGTTTCAATCTAGTGTGCGGTGGAAATTGCCATACTGTGATTGGTTTATTGCTTTTTAATATTGTAATTTGGACCGCACACTAGATGGCAACGGAGAATCTGATTGGTTTAATTATGATTTGTTTTGAAATAAATAAATTGTCTTAAACATTAAAATACAAAATATTCAAAAATATGTAAATGGTACCTACCTACCTAATAAGATATTGATTGAAAGACATAAAAAAGTTTTAAGTGTTGGGTAGTAAAATTATAAATAAACCAATATTTTATTGCATATATTTTAAGATAGGTACCTAACAAAATGCAATTTGTTATTTAACAAAAAGTGATTACCAATGTACATTCAAATTTGTTCATGTTAGCTAATAATTATAATTATTAGGTATACAATTAATTTAGTTAAAAAAAGAATAAATTGCAAACTCTACTTATCAGCTGTGGTTTAAAGTTTAAACCACAAAATAGTGGAATATTATTATACATATATATATTGATATTGTATATCAAGTTTATAAACGAGTTGAATACTATACTTTTTATAAATTAAATATTTGTATAAAGCGACATCTATACGAAAATAAAGTAACCATCCCAATAAACATTTTTGAAGTAATTTTCAATATTAACATTGCCCGCTATTATTTTAATTTAACTTAACAATTATTGATACTTTAAAATATTAAAATAACTTCAAAATATGATTATGTTAAGAAAATATTTTATCTTTTGATTTTTTTATTGCTATAAATGCAAAATATTATTACAAAGTCATACGGGAAATGTTAAAGGTACAAAAAGTAATAGTTGTATTTATTGGAATTCCCGTTAGATTTTTTAACTTGGGAATCTACCGGCGTTAAAATGTCAAATGTTTCTTATCCCTTGAAAATAGACTAACAATCAATATAGAAGCAGGTTTTAACAGTAAAAGGGAAGAGAATGTTTTATGGGCACCGTACGCAAAATTTTTAACGCTTTATCAGTTAAATCTAGTTAACTGCACTACTATAGCGAAATCAAAAGTTCAGTAGGTACCTACAAACGTTCATATAATCTTTTCAAATATTGCCGTCAAGAAACTTGTATTGAGATAATAAAATAATTTTCACATAGTATTACTTTACATTACAAGGAAAGCACTTTATTTTAACGATTGTACGACATTTGACAATTGTCAACTAACTTAAAACTAATTTTAGCCCGTGACTAAAATTATAATTATTATTATTACCATGTAAACCTGGCATATACATAGACTTATTTAGTTGTGGAACACTTAAACTCAAATTAGGTATAAGTGGGCCTATCCTATCTATATAATAAAAAATAAATTAAACTACCCATGAAATGTATTAGTAGAACAAAACTTAACCATCTAGATTATCTTATAGCTATATGGCAGAACAAAACATGCTGTCGTTTATTTATTTATTATTCACTTTGCATATTTACCTGGTATCTGAATGTAGAATGAAATAAAAGCGAACAGGTACACCACACAGAATGCCCGTAGAAACAAATTTCTCGTGTACCTTAACACAATCATTTTACCGTGTTGAAAAACGCCGGTGACTCGATTAAATTTCTCTTGTAAGTGCCAGCATAAAGGTCGCGTCTTCCTTGGAAAACAAAAACGCGTAGCGGTTACTTGATTTTGCGGCGATTTTGGTCGGATTTGTTGTTCGATTCGCGATTGTTTTTCACTGACGGGATGGGACGTGACGCGTCGACGCAACCAAGCCAATAGCTACGCCCAACCAGGCAACACCACGCTAAGAACCATGGGCGGGCCGCTGGGCTGGGTTCATGGGGCAAAAAATGTTTTTTTTTTGAAAAATTAAAATTAAGCGTTCTGGATTTTAAAGTGTATAAAATATATGTATGTAAAAAAGGTATGCACTTAAAAAAATTAGTTACTTACCTACAAACTTTCTTCTTTTTGCATACTTTTTTGAAGAGGGTCTTTTATTTCAACATTAGTTGGAAAACATTTAATTTTTATTTGAGTAATTTTACTTACTTTTCATACCATAATAATAATTTTTGGAAAATATTTGATTAAAAAAAAATTATATGAATTTATTTACTCCACTCCAAAAAAAAATGTTTAAAAAAATCTAAAATTGAGAAATTTTTACAAATTTTAGATTATGGGGAAAAAACAATAAAAAAATTAAAAACATATAATTTTAAGCGTTTGGGATTTAAATAATTCAAGTTTTAAAGGAAAAATAAATAAAATATAATTATATAGGCACGGTTTTTCTGCTCATTTAATTTTTTTAAATAAAATATTGAAATTTGACGCTGTCTATGGTCAAAGTCCGTCCCTGTTGAAACAAATCTTGTAAAATATATCCATTAGCAACAACAGGTATAGTCACTATAGTGTATTCAAATAACTGTATTTTTAATGAACAGTTTTTATAATATACTGTTGTAATCTTTAAAAATAGATTTTTTTATAGATAAATTAAGTAACACAACAAACAAATTATATTTATCAAATTTTGGCAATTGGTACTAATATATTTATGCGAAAATTATGTGATTTGTTTTGTTTATTTTTTTGCCATATACATTACAAACACGTTTTTTGCGTGTTTCTTACATTCAGTGTTGCCAAACCATGGATTTATTCCCTTATTCTAGTGATTTTTGCGACTGTCGAAAATTTTATTCGTGTTTAGTAATGTGTACTGTTTGTTTTATTACTTTGATAATTTAAATAAAAACTATTTTATTTATACTGTTTTGTGTTAAAACTAGGGATTTTTAACAAGCAACACCGGTAGTTCAAATAAACAAATCTCTAACCTCAAAACATCACTAACCTCAAAAACATAACATTTCCGTAAATTTTTCGTTTTCAGCAAAACAACATCATAAAATGTCAGTGGTGGAGGATGACGATGTACCTGCTTTATCGGCGGAAACTTTTTTGGTCCTGCAGGACTTTTACAACGAACAGGCCGAGAAGGACAAGAGGTTGAAACAAGCAGTGGATGATAACTTGTTGGATAGCGTCGAAATTGAGGAAGATTGGGTACTGGTTTTGATGAATTATTATTGTTAAGTATTTTAATTATTTTATTCTAGCAATTGAGTCAGTTTTGGTATGATGATAACACAATTAACACTCTTGCTCATATAGCATTAAAAACTATTGGGCCTTTGGGAAAAGTGGCTTTAATATCTTGCCCTTCGCTATACAGAAAAATCAAGGAGGGCTGTGGGCCAGACCAACAAGGTAATTTGTGATTTTTTTTATTTATTTTTGTAATACACTCATTTTAGTGACGGTTTTTGAGTTTGACAAAAGGTTTTCGATATATGGAGCAGATTTTCACTATTATGACTACAACAGTCCACTAGAATTGGGGGATATAAGACCGAAATACTACGATTTAGTCATAGCCGATCCTCCATTTTTATCTGAAGAATGCTTGAAGAAAACCACTTTAACGATGCGGTTTTTGACAATGGAAAAGATTATTTTGTGTACAGGTATTCTAAAACAATAACTTGGGACCATTTTGTGAAAATCGATTTTTAGGTGCAAAAATGGAAGAATTGGCGGAAAAAATGAATTTGCAGAAAACGCGTTTCGCCCCCAAACACAAAAAGAATCTGGCAAATGAGTTTTGTTGTTTTGCGAATTTCGACATCAATATTTGACCAATAAAATACATTAATTGACTCTTTTTTATTTACTCAATAGGTAATTGTAAAAAAAAAACAATTTGTTTTTTTAACTTCTTTTATATTTTGTTTTTTTATAATTGTTATATCCAAAAATTTTTAGGGGCGATTCAGAATCAAAATATAAAAAAGTATTATATTATGTATCAAGTTTGAAAAACGCCATTTTAGTCACATCTATACGAGAATAAAGTAATCATCCCAATAATTATTTTTGAGGTAATTTTCACCATAAACATTTATCGTTATTATTTTAATTCAATTTAACAATTATTGATACTTTAAAATATTAAAAAAACTTCAAAATTTCATTATGTTAGGAAAATATTTTAACCATTGATTTTTTTATTAATATAATTGCAAAATATCAAAAAATATTAAAAATTCTTACAAGAGAAAAAGGTCCAAAAAGTGACAGTAACTGTTGTATTTTTTGGAATTCCCGTTAGAATTTCTAACTTGGGAATGTACCGGCGTTAAAATCTCAAATTTTTCTGTGTAAATCAAAATTTATCCCTTGATCAGTTGATATAAAAGCAGTTTTTCACAGTAAAAGCTTCTCTAAAGAAGAGAATGTTTTATGGGGACTGTACGCCCGTGACTAAAGCGCCCTAAAGCCACAGCTTGTCAATGTGTATTTAAAGTATTGATGTAAAAAAACCGTTTTTTTCAAATTAAAAAATCTTTTTTTCTGAAAGAAACATTGTTTTTTTTTCAAATTATAAAAAAACTACCCAACAAAGATACCACATGTATACATTTACATGTAAGATTAGTTGCTGCCCATTTTTTTTTACAAATAAACTACTTTAGTTGTTTTTGTTTTAATTTTCACTAGTAATACCACTAGAGGTCAAATTATTTCCGGAAATTTTTTCGAGCTCATGAATATTTTGAAAATTATCCCGAGTCGAAGACGAGGGATAATTTTCTAAAAATATTCATGAGGGAGAAAAAATTTCCGGATTTAATTTGACCTCGTGTGGTATTCGGTAAGAAAATTCCACACATAATTAAAATTTATTTTTTGATTTAACTTGACCTTGACTTGATTATTTAGTTACCATGGCAACTAAGTCAACCCCAACCTAAAAGTTATTTCAGTTTTGAAGCTGTCAAGCGGCACGACGTAAAAAAATGTGAAATTGTCTGCTGTAATGATCAATCATCGTGCAATGACTTATTTACCCGCATTATTAGAGGATTGTGGCTCCTAATTGAAGAAAGAAAATTTGTTTTGAATTGTTCACGAATATTTGCATCTTAACTATTCAAAACTCAAAGTGCTAAATGGAAAAAAGGTGAATAGAATAGTGTCTAAATATTATATATATTTCATTAGACATAGACATTTAATTTATTTCAAGTCCTGCATTTTCGCCATTAAGAAGAAAGGAGGTGTCCAACGAATATAGAAAACATCTAAACTTTGTAATGGAAATGTATCAAAATTATCATGTAAACAAATAAAAACCAGATTGTCAAACAAATATTCTGTCATTATAAACGTCAAAAAATTTCCAGTATAATTCGCTGTTGGGTACCCACGAGGAAAAAATTTCCACTAAAATTCAACCGTTGCCATGGTGATCTATCAAAAATACACGTTTTGATTGGTTAAAAATTACAGGTGTGGAATTTTCAAAGAAACTCATGTATGTTTATTTTAGAAGCAAGTTTTTATTTATATTTAAAAACCTTATTATAAATAACGATTATTTTAAAACGTTTCAAAATTTTTCTGCTTAAAGTTTACTTTTTTCTCTTATAATCTTATAATCTCCATTAAGGAAAAAAAAACATGTTTAGAGAAAACAAAACGTTTTTTTCTGTTTACATGACTAATTTAAAAGGCGTTTTAAAGGTTGGAGCAGAAATTGTTTATTTATTTTTATTTAAATGTTTTGGTTGTGATATGTGTGATTAATAAGTTTATTAAAAATTAATAAAACTAAAAATAATTTTATTTACAACTTTTTTTACAAAAATAAAACAATTTTTCATAACCATAATAAAAAACAGAACTTTGTACACTTAAAAATTAAATATCTTCATCAACCTCTTCAAATTTAATTTTTTCCTTCTTCAAGAAGCCTTGTAATTTTTGCAAATCCACAAAATCGTCATCGACACTTTCAACGGCATTTTGAATGCTGCTTTGCGAGCAACTCGGTTCTTCAGGCTTAACATCCGCTATTTTAACGTTATTTTGATTTTGTTTCTTGTGCAAAACTATAACTTTAACGTTCTGTTTCGAACACGCCTCCGAGAAACTCTGCAACTTATCCAGCGGTATCACAAGCGTGTCTTTTTCGTCGAACACCATGGAACTGATCTCCGAGCTTAACTTCACCCTTTTATTTTTATTCTCCCCCGGTTTCGCTCTGGCGTAGGTTCTCCTTTTCTCCCCCGGTTTATTGTACAACAAATCTCGACTGGGCTCCGCCAGACTTAGTATGGAAGGCCACTTAAAAATCGTTGTAAATCTGCTGTAAAACAGATTCCGCTCGTGTACGATTTTGTCGCGTAATGGACCCGGCATTTTTTCCACCGCGTATCTAAAATTTTCCTGGTGGGAGTTGAACTGGGGGCCCAGCCTGTCGAAAATCCTCTCCCCCAGGGATTGGTACGACTTGTGCTTTAACAGCAAACTCGTCAACCCCATAATACTATTTAAATTGGGCGGCAATAATCTGCCGACTTTTTGTTGAGTTTTACTGTCCCGTAAACTCCGCAACACTTGCACATCCAATGCATCCAAGTTAGTCCCTTCTTCTAATTTTTTGGGGATTTTTAACTTGGCGCCCAACACAGACAGCATTTCCTCCACATTTTCCGTTACGACCGATATAGACGGCGAAAAAAACGCTTTCCAAGTAGTTTTGTTGTTTTGCGAGTTGGAGAAAAACTCCACCAACTGCGCGTCCACCGACGTTTTGTGGGTATACGTTTTTTTTGTTGGGAGTTGTTGGATACGAGTTTTCGTATATTGTGCGTCCATAATAATTTTTATTTCCGCGAGGGTCGGTATGTTTTTGTCCTTGAACATGTCGGCTATATACCTACAGCAAACGCAACGTAATTTACGCTGATAAACTTTTAGACCAGCGCCGAAGCCTTTAAAAATGGTAAAAAGTGAAAAAAATTACAGTAGGATGAAACCCATTGGAAAAGGAGGAGAATATAATAAAAAAGAAAGGAAAAATAAATTACGGGCGATCTGAGTTCGGGAAGTGGGGGGGGGTGAGGTTTTAAGGGTTAAAAATGGTTTATCTCGATTTCCGGCAAAACTACAAGTGCTATGGAAAAAAGTTAAATGGCAAAGTTGTAGGTAATAAAAAGATCTACAACTTTTGTATTTACAATTTTTTCACATAACCTCAAAATTTATGTGAAAAATTCAAATAACCAAGTTTTTGGTTTTTTATTTTTCTTTTTCAAAAAAAAAAAAATTTTTCCACGAAATTTGGTGAAAACTTACCTTTTTATGTCCCAAATAGACTGTAATTTATTTGATTTGAAATATTTATTATTTCACCTTATTTTGACTTAATATCAAAAAAACACCCTAATTTTCAATCGAAAATTCTCGCGTCAAAATATCAGCTTTTTTCAAAAGTCGGTGTGCTTTCTGTTCGTTGAAATCTCTACTTTCTGATGGTGTAAAAAAAATATACATTACTATAGTAAATGTTCTCGGAAAATGCAAAAAATCGAAAAAAAACTCGAATTTGAAATTTTTTTAAAATTATTATGTACAATTTCATCAAAAAAATGTGATTGCTGCAATTTTTTTCAGTTAAAAAGTTTATTTATTAAATTCTAAACTTACCTTTTTATGTCCCAAATACACTGTAATTTATTTGATTTGAAATATTTATTTTTTCACCTTATTTTGACTTAATATCAAAAAGCACCCTAATTTTCAATCGAAAATTCTCGTGTCAAAATATCAGCTTTTTTCAAAAAGTCGGTGTGCTTTTTGTTTGTTGAAATCTCTACTTTCTGATGGTGTAAAAAAAATATACATTACTATAGTAAATGTTCTCAGAAAATGCAAAAAATCGAAAAAAACTCGAATTCAAAATTTTTTTTAATCATTATGTACAATTTTGAGCTATTTATTAAAATTTACACTTTAATTACTCAAAAAACGTAAGATTTCATGTAACATTGATAAACGAAAAAATTGCAAATCGAAATATACTACTATAATTAACAAACAAATAAGTTAATAAATTTAATATTTAATAAGAGATCTACAATATTTTGAGAAAGTTGTAAAAATCTTCTTATTTTATTTTTTCTAAAAGCTTTACATAATAAATAATAGTGTTAATATATAATATTATAATGATAAAATTATTATAATAATTTTATATTATAATATTATTATAATAATTTTATCATTATAATATTATATAGTGTTATATATAAATATTTCAAATCAAATAAATTACAGTGTATTTGGGACATAAAAAGGTAAGTTTAGAATTTAATAAATAAACTTTTTAACTGAAAAAAATTGCAGCAATCACATTTTTTTGATGAAATTGTACATAATAATTTTCGAATTCGAATTTTTTTCGATTTTTTGCATTTTCTGAGAACATTTACTATAGTAATGTATATTTTTTTACACCATCAGAAAGTAGAGATTTCAACGAATAAAAAGCACTTCGACTTTTTTAAAAAAGCTGATATTTTGACGCGAGAATTTTCGATTGAAAATTAGGGTGCTTTTTGATATTAAGTCAAAATAAGGTGAAATAATAAATATTTCAAATCAAATAAATTACAGTGTATTTGGGACATAAAAAGGCAAGTTTTCACTAAATTTCGTGGAAAAAAATTTCTTTTTTGTAAATTAAAAAAAAAACAAAAACTTGGTTATTTGAAATGTGAAAAAATTGTAAATACAAAAGTTGTAGATCTTTTTATTACCTACAACTTTGCCATTTAACTTTTTTCCATAGGACTTGTAGTTTTGCCGGAAATCGAGATAAACCATTTTAACCCTTAAAACCTCACCACCCCCACTTCCCGAACTCAGATCGCCCGTAATTTATTTTTCCTTTCTTTTTTATTATATTCTCCTCCTTTTCCAATGGGTTTCATCCTACTGTAATTTTTTTTTGTTTCAAAAATTATCGACCCTGGTCTATTTACATTTCACTTACCTTGTTTGGTCGTAGCTGGTATCCTCCCCCACCCAGTGGGTGTGGTTCCTCCTGATGATATCGTCGTAGGAACCGTCCGGGTTGTCCTGGAAAAACTTCTGCAGAACCAGATATCTTTGTCTTATTTGCGCTCTGGCCCTTTGCACGGTGTTCACCAGACCCCCCCAACTTTTAGTGCCGTGCTCTTTGACCCAATCCATTATGACCATGTCTTCATCTTTCGTGAAACAACCTTTTCGGATTTTAGCTAAAAGAAGGGGTAATTTAGGTAATTTTTAATTGTTACCAGGAGAACATCGCAAATATCAAAAATAGGTTTGAAACGGTTTTAAGTATCAGGAAAGCATGAAGTCTCAAAGGTTATGTCATTTATTTAGCTCTAAAAAGGTTTTAAGAGTGTTTAAATATTTTAAAGGTCGGCATTAAGGTTAATTATTGAAAAGGTAATTCAAAGTGATTGGATAATTAAAAACCGCCCTTGAATGCATAAATATAAAAAATTGTGGGAAAAATTTGAACAGTAGCATAAATTAAAAAAATTATAGGAAAAATTAGCATAGTAGTTCAAAATAGTGGGTAAAAACTGCACTAGTTTGAATTTAAAAATTCTTAGTATGATAAATTAAAAAAGTGGTGGGAAAAATTCGAACGATAGATTAAAATTTTAAAAAAATGGGAAAAAATTGCACAGTAGCTTCAATTTAAAAAATTATAAGAACAATTCGCACAGTACCATAAATTTAAAAAATGGTAGGAAAATTTTGCATAGTAGTTCAAAATTAAAAAAAAATGGGAAAAATTTGCACAGTAGCCAATATTTAAAAAACTGGTAGGAAAAATTTGCATAAATAAATTAAAAACATGGGAGAAAAAATTCGCAAGATCTTTCAAAATTTAAAAATAGTGGGAAAATTTTGAACATTACCTTAAATTTAAAAAAAGGAAAAATTCGCACTGTAGGATAAATTAAAAAAATTATATAGGAACAATTCACAGAGGAAAAAATTAAAAAAATAAAGGAAAAATTTGCACAGTAGGATAAATTAAAAACATGATGGGAAAAATTGGCATTGTGGTTCCAAATTTAAAAATAGTGGAAAATAATAATGGTAGGAAAAATTTGCATAAATAAATTAAAAACATGGGAGAAAAAAATTCGCAAGATCTTTCAAAATTTAAAAATAGTGGGAAAAATTTGAACATTACCTTAAATTTAAAAAAAAAGGAAAAATTCGCACTGTAGGATAAATTAAAAAAATTATATAGGAACAATTCAGTGGGAAAAATTAAAAAATTAAAGGAAAAATTCGCACAGTGAAATAAATTTAAAAAATGGTGGAAAAATTCGCATGGTAGGTACAGTTGTATTCATTAAAAAAGCGTACAAGAATTAGAATGAGAGAAAACTGTCAACATTATTGCGTAAAACCGGCTTTCCACTGACTTAAGTCACTATAACTGACAGTAGAAAATAAAAATGCCTCGTCAGTTAAAAAGGCTCAAATAGTATCAAGAATCGAAGAAGAATGGTCAATTCGTACCGTGGTATAATAGAAATAAAAAATCTATATTAAAAATTAATAATTTTTGTAATATTATTTAATTAACCTACGACGTCAATGTTCTTTATAACCTATAGTAATTATTTTAATGACTTATGTCAGTGATAAGCCGGTTTTAAGCAATAATATTATTTTGACAGTTTTCTCTCATTCTAATTCTTGTACGCTTTTTTATTGAATACAACTGTACAAAATTAAAAAAATAGTGGGAAAAATTTAAAAATTGGTAAAAATTATAAGAACAATTCGCACAGTAGCATACATTTAAAAAATGGTAGGAAAAATTTGCATAGTGGTTCAAAATTAAAAAATAGTGGGAAAAATTTGCACAGTAGCCAATATTTAAAAAACTGGTAGGAAAAATTTGCATAAATAAATTAAAAACATGGGAGAAAAAATTCGCAAGATCTTTAAAAATTTAAAAATAGTGGGAAAAATTTGAACATTACCTTAAATTTAAAAAAAGAAAAAATTCGCACAGTAGGATAAATTAAAAAAATTATATAGGAACAATTCACAGAGGGAAAAATTAAAAAATTAGAGGAAAAATTTGCACAGTAGGATAAATTAAAAACATGATGGGAAAAATTGGCATTGTGGTTCCAAATTTAAAAATAGTGGAAAATAATTGTATAGTGACTTAAATTTAAAAAATAAATTAAATAAATTATAAAATTTAAAAAATGGTGGAAAAAATTAAAAATAGTGGGAAAAATAGCTTAAATTTAAGAAATGTTTGGGAAAATTAGCATAATAAAAAAATTTAAAAAATTATAAGAAAAATTTGCACAGTAGGATAAATTAAAATTGTTGGGAAAAATTAAAATGGGCAAAGTAAATTAAATTTAAAAATTCGTGGGAAAAATTTAAAAAATTATTGGAAAAATTCGCACAGTGGAATAAATTTAAAAAATGGTGGGAAAAATGTGCAAAGTAGCTTAAATTTAAAAATTGGTTGGAAAATTTTGCAGAATGGGTTACATCTAAAAAAATATAGAAAAAATTTGCTTAGTAGGATGAATGTAAAAAATAATGCGAAAAATTTGCATTGTGGGATAAATTTAAAAAATTTACACAGTAGGATAAATTTCAAAAATAATGGAAACAATTTGCCGAGGGGTAAACCACCTAGGAATTATTGTCACCAGCCTGGGGAATTATGTGGTAATACGGGGAAATGCAGGGAAATATTAGGTAGTACAAGGAAATATCAGGAAATACAATGCAAAATGGGGAAATATAAGGTATTATGAGGAAATATTGGGGTATTATTAGGAAATATTGAGGAAATATCGAGGTATTATTTGCGCATGTAAAGTTACGAACGCACCCGAACATTCACGATGCCAATCGTTTTGGACGTTTTGTAAATAAGCTAAAGTATTTGTAAATAACTCGGTAAATAAACTCTACTAGTGTAATTTTTATGTTCGTTTTTATGTGTGATGAAGGTAAGTACTTCCTTATATATTATTTTTAAGTTTTATTTAATATATGTTTTAATGTTTTAAATTAAATATAGCAAGCAAATAGATTATAATTATAGCTATTTACTTGTTATAAAACCTATAGGTTTAAAACAGACTTTAAAACAAAATATACAGACAAAGCTATAGAATGTGTAATGGAAAATGCCTTAAATAATGCACGAGAGGATTTAAGTGAACTTGGTATTTCTGAATATACAGAAGATTTCTGGATGCAAGTCGCTATAGAAATGAAACAAGAGAACACTCGAGAGAACATGATTGATGATGATGAAGATGACAAAATAAACACACAAGTTGAAGAAATTAACTTATTTGACGATACAATATTAGATGAGGACAAGCATGCAAATGAATTTAATGTTAAAAATGAGATTGAAAATGTAGGTGATAACATCAAGCTGAAAGATTACTCCAATAAGGTGAAAACCATAAATGAAGAAAGTCCCTTTTTACGAGTTAAAATGGGTACACAAGAAAAGGAGGTTGTTATTAAGAAATCAACATATTGTTGGCTGCTGGAAGAAGGAAACGGCCGGGTGAGTACAGATAGACTAAGACGGTTTTATACCCAGTTAAGCAAGAAAACTCCTCGCAAGAACCTCGACAAAAAAAAGGGAAACCTTAATAAGAAAGAAAAAAGCTCGGGAAATGAGTAGCAAGCTCAAGCAAGAAGGAAAAAGCCGAAAAGCTGTTGTTTATGACGATGAGGTTTCAACTGAAAGCTCAAGCGAGGATAATGATGTTGTATATGATGATTCAACAGATAGCGAAGAATTTTCCGAGCGGTCAGATGACGACAAGAATGATAATGTTACTGTTGATAAGAAAAACAAAGTAAGCAAATCATATTAATACATTATGTCTTTTGATGAAAAGAAAAAGTAAAATTTAAGTACTTAATTATTTTAGTTAAAAGTTAAATTAACATCAATTTCCTTAGCAAATTATTCTGTATGCATATTATTTCACCTGTATTTCATCAGTTTTTCTCTAGCCTTCTCCTCTCTTTTAGGATACCTTGGATATACCTATACAGCTTGAGCAGTACTATGTATATTATGATGAACTATGGGCTATTGGAAGGGCTATATCTAAAGTAACTACATCCAATGAAGAAAACGTCGAGAAAAAGAATATGATTTATTTTAAATTTCTCAAATGTGAGTTAGACAACTATGTTTGGCCTCTCCGCCCAGATAATGCGAATGTAGAACATAAATATATAATATATGGTCCTCTCAACCTCATTCCATGGAAACGGTCCTTTCCAGTTAAAGAGGCAAGATATCATAAATATAAATAAAAAATATAAATTATGTCGTTCGACGTTATAATTAATTTTGAAGGCAACAAGGCTTGTGGATCTTCTTTGTTGAAGAATTTTTTTAAATAAAAACTCGACTAAAAAGTATTTTATTTTAGTTTATTTTTGTTGTTGATATTTATGTAAGTTTAGGTATGTTTATTTATAAATAAATAACTACACTCTTCCGAATTAATGTTTTTATTATGAAAACTCTAAAAGGCACTTAACTTACTTTGCCTTTTCAAATAATTTCTACATATGTATGTACATTGTACATACTTTAAATAAAACTGCTTAGGTAAAGTACTTAAATATTCTTGTTAATAATAATAAAGGAAATACCGGGCAATATTGGGGAATTATCAGGAATTACTGAGGAATTATGGGAAATATCGGAAATATATGGGAAATACTAGGGGAATTATAATAAAGGAAATACCGGGCAATATTGGGGAATTATCAGAAATTGCCGAGGAATTATGGGAAATATCAGAAATTACTGAGGAATTATGGGAAATATCAGGGAATTATAAGGCATTTTAGGGAATTATGTGGCAATATCGGGAATTACGAGAAAATATAGGAAATAAAGGCAATATTTGTGAAATAATTCCCCCAAGGGGAAATATTTGTACAAAATCTCAGGGGTGGTTTACCCCTCGCAATTTGCAAAATTAAAAATAGTGGAAAAATTTGCACAATGGCCTAATCGCACAGTGGGCTAAATTTAAAAATTGGTGGGAATTTGCACAATGGCTTGAATTTAAAATTTTGTGGGAAAAATTCGCAAAGTGGAATACGTTTAAAATATATAGAAAAAATTTGCTTAGTAGGATAAATGTAAAACATGTTAGGAAAAATTTGCAGTGGCTTAAATTTAAAAATTGGTAAGAAAAATTCGCAGAATAAAATAAATTAAAAAAAAATAGGAATAATTCCCACAGTGGGATACTTGGAAAATGGTGAAAAAAATTAAAATAGTGGGAACAATTTACAAAGTGGCTTAAATTTATAAATTGGTGGGAAAAATTCGCAGTGGGATAAATTTCAACATTATAGAAAAAATTCGCACAGTAGGACCAATTTAAAGATGCTAGGACAAATTTGCGTTGTGGTTCAAAATTAAAAATGATGGGGAAAATTTTAAAAATAGTGGGCACGGTAGCCCAATTTTTTTTAAATTACTATAAAATTCGTACATTTTTTACAAAATGTAATTAATTATTATCTAAAGGACCAAAGTATTTTTTGTGAAATATATTAATTTTATAACATTCCAACTTACCTTGGAGATTCCCATTGTATCTTGCTTTCAATTGGCTAGCAGATCTCTCGGGAAACGATTCGGCACACCTCGTGAAAGATCGCCCGAATTTGTTTACCAATATTAAAAGCAGAACATCTTCTTCGGGTTCGAAGCGGGTTTTCTTAACCCTTTTATTCAGAAAGTACGTGTATCTGTGGTACAATTGCTCCCGTTTCCTGTCCGCGAAATGTTGCCTTATTTTGCTCCACGGAATAGTTTTACCCACCTTATATTTCTCCACCAGTTTTAACAGCTTCGCGTCTTCTTTCTGCGAGAATTTTTCCTTCTTGAATTTTGTCTGCAGCTTGCTCATGTAGTGCAGACAAACTGAGAAGCCTTCAAAAAAATGGTACTATTTAAAATAAAGTTGCAAATAATGCACTATTTTTTAATGCATTATTGTTTTACCCATTATTAAAATAATGAGTAATGTGTTTAATTTTCATTATGCATTACTTCTTTTTTAATGAAAATTAGATTAATAACTCATTAAATTTTGTCCAATGAGTAATGCATTCTTTTTTGCATTACTCATTTTTAATTTGTAATGAGTATTTTGAAATTTTCAATTACCTACTAATTATTATTAATTACTAATTAATATTAATTTTTTATGTCAATGAGTAATGTACTCAATGTCAGACTTGGTGTAAAATGCCACATGTAAAAAATCCCATCAACACTACTCCTTATCATTTTTCACTAAACATTTTTTTTAATGTGTAATGTACAGTCTCATTATTATTTTTTTATTATTTATTGTTCGACATTACGGCCATTTCAAGCGCGCGAAACGCACGAATTACAAAACTGTTTTTATAAAAAAAATTGTAGATTATTTATTATATAATATTTTGGCATCAAAATTGTCAAAAATATTCTTCTTTTATTAGGTTATACATTAAATAAAAAAAACGCAAGAAATATTTTATAAAAGTAGATATAATTTTAATAATTGAAAGGTGTGGACGGGACAAAAAAAAGATTTATCTTGTCCCGTCCATCCCCTGTCAATTATTGAAATTATCTCTACTTTTATAAAATATTTCTTGCGATTTTTTTTATTTAATGTATAGCCTAATAATAGAAGAATATATTTGACAATTTTGATGCAAAAATAATATATAATAAATTACCTACAATTTTTTTTATAAAAACAGTTTTGTGATTTGTCCCGTCCATCCGCTTGAAATGGCCGATTATTCATTACTTTTTAATGTGTAATGAAAATAATATTTCTCATTACAATTTTTTTTATGATTAAGTATTCCAACTACATTACCATTAAAAAAAATGACTATTGCATTATTTTTTACATTAACATAATAATAATAATAAACTTTATTGGAAAATCCAAATGGCTAACGACTTGCGTCTTCCTGCCCTTAAATTAACATTTTTGCAAATTATAGGAAAAATTCGCACAGTAAAAAATTTAAAAAAACGGTGGAAAATATTCGCATGGCGGCCATTCCACGCGTAACGGATGGGACAGTTCCAAGTTTTTATTTACAAAATAATATTGTTCTATTATATTACTAATGTCAAATTTTTATAAATAGTTCTAAACAAAAGTTGTTTAACAAGGTTTTTATTTGGCAAAATTAGGTATCGTGGTTGTCTGTTTAATTCCTAAAAATTTAATTTTTTTTATTCAAAAACAGTACTAGTAGGGTTTTTGAATAAAAAAACTAATTTTTAAGGAATTAAACAGTCAACCAAGATACCTAATTTTGCGAAATAAAAACCTTGTTAAACAGCTTTTGTTTAGAACTAAATATTTATAAAAATTTGACATTAGTAATATAATAGAACAATGTTATTTTGTAAATAAAAACTTGCAACTGTCCCATCCGTTACGCGTGGAATGGCCGATGGAACAAAATTAAAAAATATTGGATAAAATTTAAAAAATTGACAGGAAAAATTTGCATTGTCGTTCAAAATTAAAAAAAGTGGGAAAATTTTGCAGTGGCTTAAATTTATAAGAATTCGCAGAGTAGAATAAATTTAAAAAAATATATAGAAAAAATTTGCAGTTGGATAAATTTAAAAAAGGGCAGAAAAAATAATGTGTAATGAAAATATTTCTCATTACAAATTTTTTTAATGATGAATGTATTCAAACTACATTACCATTTAAAAAAAATGAGGATTGCATTATTTTTTACATTAACATTTCTGCAAATTATAGGAAAAATTCGCACAGTAAAAATTTAAAAAACGGTGGAAAAAATTAGCATGGAACAAATTAAAAAATATTGGATAAAATTTAAAAAATTGGTAGGAAAAATTTGCACAGTATAATAAATTAAAAAAATTATAGAAAAAATTTTCATTGTCGTTCAAAATTAAAAAAAGTGGAAAAAATTTGCAGTGGCTTAAATTTAAAAATTGGTAGAAAGAATTCGCAGGGTAGAATAAATTTAAAAAAATTATAGGAAACATTCGCACAGTAGGATAAATTTAAAAAATGGTGGAAAAAATAAAAATATTGGGAAAAATTTGCAAAGTAGCTTAAAATTAAAAATTGTTAAGGAAAATTCGCATGGTAGAAAAAAATTATAGAAAAACTCGCACAGTTGGATAAATTTTAAAAATGGTGGAAAAAAAATGTGTAATGAAAATTTTTTCTGATAACAAATTTTTTTTAATGATTAATATATTCAAACTAGGTACATTACCATTAAAAAAAATTACGATTGCATTATTTTTTACATTAACATTTTTGCAAATTATAGAAAAAATTCGCAGTCAAAATTAAAAAAACGGTGGAAAACAATTTTCAGTGGCTTAAACTTAAAAATGGGTAGGAAGAATTCGCAGAGTAAAATAAATTTAAAAAAATTATAGGAAAAATTCGCACAGTAGGATAAATTTAAAAAATGGTGGAAAAAATAAAAATAGTGGGAAAAATTTGCAAATTACCTTGAATTTAAAAATTGTTAAGGAAAATTCGCATGGGAGAAAAAATTAAAAAAATTATAGGAAAAAATTGCGCAGTTGGATAAATTTAAAATTGGTGGGAAAAAATAATGTGTAACGAAAATATTTTTCATTACAAATTTTTTTTTATGATTAATCTATTCAAACTACATTAACATTAAAAAAATGACGATTGCATTATTTTTACATTAACATTTTTGCAAATTCGCACAGTAAAAATGTAATTTAAAAAATTGGTAGGAAAAATTTGCACAGTATGATAAATTAAAAAAACAATGAAAAAAATTTGCAGTGGCTTAAAATTCAAAATTGATAGGAAGAATTCGCAGAGTAAAATAACACATACCAAAAATTCGCACAGTAGAATAAATTTAAAAAATGTTCGAAAAAAATAAAAATAGTGGAAAAAATTGGCTAAGTACCTAGCTTAAATTTAAATATTGTTAAGGAAAATTCGCATGGTAAAAAAAAATTAAAAAATTATAGGAAAAATTCGCAATTGGATAAATTTAAAAAATGGAGGGAAAAAATGTGTAATAAAAATATTCGTCATTACAATTTTTTTTTAATGATTAATGTATTCAAACTACTACATTAACATTTTTGCAACTAAAAAAATTAATTAAATATTTTGTTACCTGATCTTCTGGTGTCCAATTCTAACGCCATTTGGTCCCAGTTCTGATTGTTGTAAGTTTTCACCAGTTTGACAATTTTCATGTTTTCCTCCATAGTCCAATTGTCTTTATTAATTTGCGGGTGCAGATGTATGTGCCAAAACGCTCTGCACTCGTTCGACGTGTGATTGCCGTGCAAAAAAAAACTCGAAATCCTTTCCCAATCGACAAACTCATTTGAATACAAGGGGGGGCACATATCGTCAACATCCTTAATAGCCTTATACTTTGCTTTAAACTCCAACTCCCTGAGATTCCCCTCGTCCCCCTCAACTTCAACAGCCTCCAAAGCTCTCAACTCCTTCAACACTTCCTTCTGCATGGTCAAGCTGTAATTCAACTTCACGGACTTCACGAGCTTCTCGCACTCCATCTGCGACCACTTCGACGAAGCATACACGTCGTAGACGCTGAGCTCGCTGTTGCGGTTCTTCCGGATCGTGTCGGAGTTCGGGGGGGCGGGGTAGTTGTCTTTGTCCTTGAAATAGGGGGCCGAGATCCTCCACAGCTTTTTGCTGTTCGCTTTTCTGATTCCTTGCTCGACCACTTGGATTTCCCTTAATTTGTCCTCTATGTTCAACTTGCATTCAAACAGCAAGTCTTTCACTTTTTTGTAGAACAAGATTAGTTGTATGTTTTTTTGTCGGTTGAGGATCAGAAGGTTTTTTAGTTGGGGGTCTACACAGTTCTCTATCACTATTTTTTCTTCGGCTTGCAGTGAAGCATTTGGTGGAATTTGATGATTTATTTTTGTTACATCTATGTCTATTGTGAATTTATCAGTATCATCAATTATTTCTTCCATAGACACATCCATTGTGGACTCTTCCTCTTCATCTTCATCTTCATCACTGTTTATCAGTCTTTCAAATTCCAAATTACTTTTTTTTCCCTTGCTTTTATTCCTCAGAAACTCACTGAGTTTCCTTACATCCTCTTCATCATCCATTTTGCTTGTACTATTTTCAAATTCTTCCTTTAATATTAATACAAATTCTTTTATCTTTATCTTCGTAACTATTGCGTTTAAATGCAATATAACCACTAATAAATGCACTATTAGTTAAACATTATTTTATTATTAGAATATTATTTAATTTAAATAACTTATACAATTAAAAATTCGTATTATTTATTAAGAAACCACAAAAACAACCAAACTTGACACTTGACAGATGAACAGTGTGGCCAACTGATTTTACTTTAGACAATTAAATTACCAAATTACTTTTAAAGGTTTTGTGGGTTTATTTTAACTCTAAAAATGGTTCTAATTTTTAAAAATAATACACGCTATTTATAAAAGTCGTTAAACCGCTCCAAATAGTAAGAAAAACAAAAAATATCAGCAGATCCTATAAATATCCTCTTGTTGGCGACACTTCCTGCTATGCAATATTGCCAAGCATCCAAAATGAAATTCCCGGAAGGAAAATTTGAAAAATTGTATTTTAATCCAAAAATTAACGTTATCTTTATTTACAAATTTAATGGGCTTATTTATTAAATTTTTGTATTTAATGTTGACTGATCAATGATAAAAATTTAATTATGTAAGTAGTTCAAACGTCTTGACGTGACATTTGTAGGTTATGTTTTGAGGTTAGGACCTAACCGTTGGGTGCTGTATTTGCCTGAAATATGAATAAACTACACTTATTCCTAAGGTAAAACGCAATTTATTTTGATAGAAACGTTATTTAAGCTTATTTTAACATTTTAGAACGCCCACACTTAACAGGAAACTGTTAAATCCAACATCATGTCTGAAAGAAATTTGCTCGAATAAGAGTTTTTCGTCCGAGTCTGATAATAATGATAAAAAGCCCAAGAAAGAGGAGGCGATTAGTAAATTGAATGATTTACTGAAGAAAATGCTTGAGGTATATATTTTTAATGGGTAGAAATTAAATAATTTGGTTATAATTTCTTATAATTTTAGGATGACGTGCAATTGGAACCCAAGATAAAATTGGCCCAACCGAGTTATAAAAAGGAAAAATTTAGCAAGAAAAAAAGTATTTCCAAGGAACCAGTCAGTAAGTTATTGCATTTTTTGTACAAAGTCTCAAAATGTACAATTTTAACGTTTTAAGATTTAACATTTTAAAAATAATATTTTAGAGGAAAATATCGTCAAAGCAGTTAAGGATGTTGCCAATACAATACCAGGGGATCCTAAAATAACTGAATCTGAATTATTAACAAAATTATTGACCCCTGCAGTAGAAACGCCAGCCACTTATAATCTAAGGTACATTTTGTTGTTACAAAAATATTTTCTACTTGTAATTATATGATTAATTATTTTCCCAGTGATATTGTAAAAGGAATGAAAATAGACCGTGAAACCAAACCAAGTGAACGCCAAACAAGGGCAGAGCAAGTAAAAAATATACTGCAAAGATTTAAACCGTCTGACCAAAATTTATCCAGTAGCAACCAAAGAAGTCAAAGAAGACAGCAAATTCCAAAAAAAACAGTAGAAAGGTAAGTTCTTCTTTGTTAATTTAAAATTGTAAAATTATGTTTCCAAACCCAAATTAATTCAATTACATTAATACTTTTTTAGTTCAGAAAAAATTGATTTATTTGGTTCTGCACCATTGGGTATATTTACTAAAAAAGAATACATCGAAGGAGTGGAGAATAAAACATGGAAAAGTTTGAATGAACGGGAGTTAAAATTGGCTATAACTCACCCCCCCGCAAACTACTACCAGGAAATGATTTTATGGACTGAGCAGGGGAAAATATGGAAATTTCCCATTGATAATGAACAAGGTATGGAAAGTGATTCGGTTTCTTTTGATGAACACGTCTTTTTGGAGAGGCACTTGGAGGGTTGGTGCCCTTCAAAAGGCCCCATACGACATTTTATGGAATTGGTTTGTGTGGGGTTGTCGAAAAATCCTTACATAAGTGCCGACGCCAAAAAAGAGCACATCATGTGGTACAAAAATTACTTTGAGGACAAGAAAAAGTTGCTGCTAGAAGTTGGGGCTTTCCCTGCAGAAACCAAATCCAAGCAAAAAAGTGTGGAGTAGAAATAAAAAGTTTATAGTTGTTTTATTTTAAACGAATTATTTATTATAATATAACAGTACAAAACTTAATACCCTATTCTTAAACTTTAAATATTTTAAAGTTAAAAAACGTTTTTCAAAATTATTTATCGTTTTTGTTGATCACCAAATTATAGAAAATATTCCCCCCACTGTCAAACTTTTTAACAATATCGTTGGAAATAATTATATTTTTATTATTTTTAGAGTAAGGCAGAACTGAGTCTGCAAGAACAAAACGTTTAAAAGCATGTAAAAATTCGAACTTAAAAACATATTTTTGCTTGCTTTTATCGTTTAATTTTTCCACTTTAATTTCTAGCGGAACATTCCTATTTTTCGAGTAAATCAACGTAAAAATAAAAACTTCATTTTTCATTGATATAATACGAGTTTCATTATCTTGTAGTGTATATTTTGTGTTCATTTGAAATAATTTATCTGCATGGTTTTCCCTGATGTGCAACATGAAATTTTCTGGATCCCCCTTCCAGTTACAGTTGAAAAAACACGTGAAAACTTGGAAACTACAATTATCTTCGTGCTCCAAAATTTTTTCCACGGAAGAGTAAAAACTGCAACCGACAGGCTCATTTCTGCACGGGACTTTCGTAACGGCTGCAATTTTTTCCAGAGAAAAATTTCTCGTTTTGTTTTTCAACGAACATCGACAAGTCGGACAAATTGACATTTTTTGAATGCAGCCCGAACAGAAACTGTGCCCAGAGGCGCAGATAAAAATTGGCGAGTACATGTATTCTTGGCAGATTGGGCATTCCAGTTCCGAGAGGATGTCCTGGTCAAATTTTATGGTGCTTTTTGGAATTACAATATCTAAAAATTCAAGAATTTACTTTATTTACTCCTATGTATACATTTACTTGGTGCATTAAATTGGGAAAAAGTGAGGTTAAAAGCGTTTGACAGCCGTCAGATTGGCAAAAGTGAGGTTAATCCCATCTGACAGACATCCAATTTTTCAATAGTGAGGTTAAAAACTTTGTTATTATAAACACATTTACTTAATTATTTCCCTCATTATAATATGAACCAATCAAAAGCCTTGAATTTTCGAATAAATTTCGTTTAAATAAGTGATTAAATCACTAGAACTATTTAACAGCGATTAAATTTTAGCCTCCATATTGGATTTTTGTTTACGATTTTATGTGTTATTTACAAGTTTTAACAAACATTTAAAAAAAAACAATAAAAAATAAGTTAGGTTTCTATAAAAAATATTTATAAATTTTGACACATACGTCAGATTTTATGAAGAGTCAAATAGTTTCCTTTAATTCGAGAAATAATCTAGACCTATAAATTTAATCTGTCAAACTATGCTCAGTAAGTTTTTTATTTGATTTTTTCTTTTTGGAAAATAGTTTCATGCAAAATAATTAAAAATAAAACCCCTCGACCGCTATGCGGTCTCGTGATTTTATTAAATTATTTTGCATTCAACATTTTCCAACAAAAACCAAACAAAAAACTACTGAGCCTAGTTTAACCGATTAAATTCAAAGTTCTCGTGATATAATATATGATTAAACGCGCATTTAACAGACGCCAGATTGAAAAAAAGTGAGGTTAATCTCATCTGACAGACGTCAAATTTGTCAAAATTGAGGTTAAAACCACTTGACATGATTCTCGGATGTATTTTTGTCAAGAAACAAAACTTTGTTATTATTAACACATTTGAAACTGGGAATAGTAGGTATATTCTGTAACAAGTTTAGAATACGGCATATTCCGCTCGAGTGAAAAGTTTGTCACACGAGCCGAAGGCGAGTTTGACGGTTTCACGAGAGGGGAATATGCAATTTCAATATTTTTTCTACGTTTCCAAAAAATACCATAGAAAAATAATCTAATCAGGAGAAAGTTAAAAACAGAGATAGATGTCGCCATCAGTGATAAAATATTTCATTCTGTAACACTTAAAAGTGATATTAGAATTCCAAAGTTCTAACAGTCATATTCCGTAATAGAAGTAGAAAAATTGTTTTTTTCCTCCTACATTTATAACTATAACTATAGTTGGTGCATTAAATTGGGAAAAGTTAGGTTAGAAACGTTTGACAGACGCCAGATTGGGAAAAAGTGAGGTTAATACCATCCGACAGACGTCAAATTAATCAAAAGTTGTCGGATGTATTTTTGTCAAAAACCAAAACTTTGTTATTATGAACACATTTGAAACATGAGAATTTTTTTTTATCTCCTACATTTAATTGGTGCATTAAATTGGGAAAAAGTAGGTTAAAAGCGTTTGACAGACGCCAGATTGGAAAAAAGTGAGGTTAATCCCATATGACAGAAGTCAAATTGTTCAAAAGTTAGGTTAAAACCACTTGACATGGTTGTCAGATGTATTTTTGTCAAGAAATATAATATATAACATATTATGTTAACTTTGTTATTATTAAGTTTATTATTATTAACACATTTGAAAAATGGGAATAGTATATTCTGTAACAAGTTTGGAATACAGCATATTCCGCTCGAGTGAAGAGTTTGTCACACGAGCCGAAGGCGAGTTTGACGGTTTCACGAGAGCGGAATAGGCAATTCCAAACGTGTTCCAGACTATACTTTTTCTACGTTTCCAAAAAATACCATAGAAAAATAATTTAATTGGAAGAAAGTGAGGTTGGATCGGTCTAAAATTTGTTAGATATTAAAAACAGAGATGTCGCCACGAGTGTTTATTCTGTCATCAGATGATAGAATATTTCATTCTGTAACACTTTATGGAATATATGTCATTCCATAGACAAAAGTTATATTAGAAGTGTCAAATTCCGTAATAGGAGTAGAAAAATTGTTTTTTTTACTTTTACATTTACTGGGTGCATTAAATTGGGAAAAGTAAGGTTAATAGCGTCAAACTGGTCAAAAATGAGGTTGTCAGATGTTTTTTGTCAAAAACCAAAACTTTGTTATTAACACATTAGAAACATAGGAAAATTATTTTTTTATCTCCTACATTTATGTACTTGGTGAATTAAATTGGAAAAAGTTAGGTTAAAAGGGTTTGACAGACGTCAGATTGGGAAAAAGTGAGGTTAATCTCATCTGATCGACGTCAAATTGGTCAAAAGTGAGGTTAAAACCAGTTGACAGTTGTTAGATAAAATGTCAAATAATAAACATTAGTAATGTTTATTTTTTGAATGTTACATTACCTTTTGGTTCTAATGGTTGTTGATGTTTGGCCATAATTTTATTAATTTCCTTATCATTCTTCTTGACAATACCAAACTTTGCAACCAAATTAGTGGAACCATTCAATATATTTTTAATATTATTTAGCGTTATATCAATCCCAACACTAGTTTTACTATCCTTGAAGGTATAACAATGATTTTTTCTTAAAATAATGGAATTTTCTTCTTTTTCATCAAATATTTCCACTTGATACCGATAACATGCACTCTGTATCTCACTTCCATTCATAGTAACTGTAAAAATCACCTTACCTCCCTTCTTTTTAATTATATATGCAATGAAAAAATCCTGCCCAACTGTACTTACAGCTACAACCTTACTAAAACCCTCGTCTATTTTACACTTAACAGGATTCTGTATTAATTTATCATGATCTTTTTTTATATGCTCATTAAAACTCATTGATTTATTCCTCCACTTACAATTCCAAATTGGGCAAGAAATCTCGGTGTATCTACACGAGTTTTCGTGTTGCGACACGTAACCCCACTTTGTAACAACCTTACAACCGGACTTTTGAAATCTGCAAGGAAAACTCTTGGTTTTCACCAGTGCTTCATAAAAATCAGCCACAGTATAATCTTCGGGATTCAGTTTGTTTTTGCATCTGCCACACACAGGACCGTTAAATGATTTGGAAATTACTATGGGGGCTATTGAGAGATACAGTTTACAAGATTTGCATATTAAATCGGCGATGTCGTCTTTCTTTTTTGACATTTTAAGGGTTTTATTGGAAGCCTAACCTAAAATTTGATTTACTTAAAATATGGCAAGCTTTTTCGAACAACAAAGGGGTTGTTTAAACGGATTAAAAGCTCAATTAGGGCCTGAAAATATCACTTTGTACTCACCCAGTTATAAAACGTTTTAACTTTTAATTGAGATAAACAAATTTTTAAGTACTCCTGTCACAACCTGTTGATTGGAGATGGCGCCACCATAGAAACCGAACATAAGGCGCCAACTTCAAATTTAGAGCATTTTATTATTTTGCCAAATCAAAAACAGTATTTTATAAACAATATTTTATTTTCACACAAAACACACGAAAACAGTGCTATTTACAAGGTTTATAGTATTTTAACGTTTTTTACATAGTGAGATCAATATAGCTGAACCTATTATTGTTATTTATTGTTATATGAGTATTAAATCCTAAAATATACAATAAGTCTATGTATATTTCTATTTTAAATATAAATATCTATACAAAATAATACGCGTTTTACACCTACTTGGTAATTTTTGGCATATTTTATGAGTTCCTAAGTACATTTGGATTAAGACTAGAAATATTTTTCATATACAGTATGTCCCGGAATTGAGTTTGCAACAAAAATAAAACATGTTTTTCTCTTGTAAAGTTATAAATAATTAATTCGGGGACATTGTACGTATATATACAGTTTGCTTTTTTATTCGTAATTTGGCGTCAAAAATTTGGGGGTAAATTCTAGGGACCCTAAATTTATATTTGGTTACATTAAGTAGAACAAACTAGTTTGGTGAATAATATAATTGTGGTTATGTTTTAATTACAAAAATATTTTAAGAAATTTTGAAATGTCAAATATAAGATGTTAAAGAATGCAATAACTTTACCTTTGATGAAATATGGGTCTATACAGCCCAAAAGACACATTCCCAGCTTAAAAATACACATGTTTGTTTATTATAATTCTGACAGTTAATTGACAAATGTCAAAGTATTTAAAATTAAGGGCTTGAACAGGAGTACCAATTTTAAATATTAAAAATACCAACCAAGTTTGTATATTAACATATTAACGTATTGACCACACAGACCACCAAAACAAATGGTGGTCTGTGATTGACCAACAATCAAATTTGTCAAATTTCGAATAAAAAAACGAACTTTATGTAATTTTCTAATTGGGACGGAAAGTTAAAAAAAGGCATTCGAGGTAGAAAAATACATTTGTGGCACAATTTTTTAAATTTTATATACAAATGGCAAAATATATAAAATTCCTTAAAAAGATGAAAAAAACATAAAATTTCAAAAATAATTGCTTATTATTATTTAAAAGAGTCTAATATACAGGATGTTTCAGATTCATGGTCCATTAGAAGTTTCTGGGGAACGAAAAAATATATCGATTTAAAATTTTAAAAGCGTTTATAACCCATTTGAGTCTATTTTTCTAAAATATTTTGAACAAAATGCCACTTCCGGTTTAACCGGAAGTGACATAAAATTTGTTATTTTAAATAAAACACCCCATATATTTTTACATTTTTAAATTCTACATAAAATTTTGAGTAAAATTAATTACTATACCATGTCCTATACCTAAAGTGAATAGTTTTCGAGTTATTATTTTTGTTTGTTAAAATTTAATTAATGCGCTTCAATCAAAAATAGCCTATAACTTTTTTGTTATTAGGTTTGCGAATATGGGGGTGGAATTTTTGGAATCTCAAAGCATTGTTTAAAATATTCTTTGTCAAAGGTTTCTTGATGCAAAATAATATTTACAATTTTAGAAATTGTTAAATATCTCTGGAATAATAAACTTTAAGGGGGGGGTAAGGTCAAATCATACGAAAAAAGCCATGTTTTCGTGATTTTTTTTCTGACGACGCAGTTAAAATTTCTTTACTCAACCAATGGTACATTGAAGTATGACATTCGAAGAATGTTTCAACAAATTTGTACAAAGAAATATTAAAAAATACGGCAATGGCAGCAATTGTTCGGACGTGTCTCGAAAAAAAAGTTGAATTGCGGTGCCCCTCATAACTTGGTGCTGGATAATCTGAAATCAAAAAATCAAAGTTCATTCGTTAGATAATAGTTTTCCCCAGGTAACGCTGTCGATTTTTTCTTTTTTTCCATTTTTTTTCATTTTTTCGAACACTTTGAAGTGAAAAACACAATTTTGTGGGAAAAAATCGGCTAATTTGTTATTGTGAAATCAAAATTATGAACAAAAAACAAAAAAACTCGACAGCGTTACCTCGTAAATGATGTACAGAAATAGTGTTTAAAATTTCAAAAGGATCGGTGCAGTAGTTTTGGAGTTATCAGGGGCACCGACTTTGAAAACGTGAGTTGTGGGAAAAACGCTTTAAAGTTTTAAACACTATTTCTGTACATCATTTACGAGGTAACGCTGTCGAGTTTTTTCGTTTTTTGTTCATAATTTTGATTTCGCAATAACAAATTAGCCGATTTTTTCCCACAAAATTGTGTTTTTCACTTCAAAGTGTTCGAAAAAATGAAAAAAATTGGAAAAAAAGAAAAAACTCGACAGCGTTACCTGGGGAAAACTATTATCTAACGAATGAACTTTGATTTTTTGATTTCAGATGATCCAGCACCAAGTTATGAGGGGCACCGCAATTCAACTTTTTTTTCGAGACACGTCCGAACAATTGCTGCCATTGCCGTATTTTTTAATATTTCTTTGTACAAATTTGTTGAAACATTCTTCGAATGTCATACTTCAATGTACCATTGGTTGAGTAAAGAAATTTTAACTGCGTCGTCAGAAAAAAAATCACGAAAACATGGCTTTTTTCGTATGATTTGACCTTACCCCCCCCTTAAGTATGGGAAATAGTAACATCAATCATTGAAAGGTTTTTTAATTTACTAATTGATTATGTAAAAATATACCAGGTGTTACATTTAAAATAAAAAAGTTTCAAATTTTCAAATCGGTACCTTTTTTGAAAAAAGTTTTTTCGTTCCCTAGTAACTTCTAATGGACTACGAATGTGAAACACCCTGTATAGTAAGTTAAGTATGGCACGCCGTTTTAGCATTTATTAGATAATAGTTTAAAAATTAAAGTTTAGCACTTAAATAATGTTATAACAGAAATTTACGAAGTTAAATTTTTTTAAACTCAAAACAATTTATAGTCAACAAAATATTTTAAATATAAATGCAACAGTAACAATTTATGTTTAAAAATATTGATTTTTAAAAGTTTTGGTTATATTTTATTCTACAAAATTATTGGTTTAAATTTAAATGATAGTTTTAAATTTTAAAGTAGTAATTTTTGGATTAAAAATTTATCGACCATCATTTAAATGACTCTTTACAAATTTAAACCAAATTTTTTTATTTTTAACAATTTCAAATTTATAACTTTACATTTAAATGTAAGTCGATAATTTTTAAATTACTAAGTGTAAACGTAGCTTTAGTAGAAGGCACAAGAGTCAATATTTTTAAACTTAAACTTTTACAGTTGCATTTTATATTTAAAATATTTTTTGATTATCATAGGTTTTGAGTTTACAAAAATTTAACTCTAAACTGTTTTGGTAGAAAATGTTTTATATGTGTTTTTATTTTAAATGGCTTAATACTATTTTTAAATACTTAAAAATTTAACTTTACCAAATTAATCTAATCTAATAATTTTATAAAATATTTATTTAAGTTTACAAAATGCCGACCAAATAAATTATACTTGGGAAATTATTTTTATTAAAAAATGATAGTTAGAAATTTTTGCAAAAATTGATAGAAAATAATATTGTTTAATACAGAAGTGAACTGTTAATAAATTTTGTCTTTCAATACATGATACCTAGTTGAAAAGATTTTAAATTTATAAATGTAAACCTAAAAATTTTAGTTGGGAAAATTTTAAACCAATAAAATTTTAAATTAAAAAATTATTTAATAAATGTTAAAACGGCGTGCCATAGATAACTTTTGAATTAAAAATGTATCGACTATCATTTAAATGACTACAAATTTTGTTGGGAAAATTTTGAACCAAAAATATTTAATAAATGTTAAAAGGGCGTTCAAAAAGTAAAAAAAAATTGCCATCTTAAACCTAAATCCTTGTAATAAATAGTTATTAAAATTCACAAATTTAACAAAAATATCACAATACACACCATAGTGAGTAACATATTAATTTTTACTCTACATTAGAGTTAGAATTTAGTAACTCCTTCAAAGCGTTTATGTACGTCTGCGCCATCTGAAGGGTTTCAAACTTACTCAACTTCTGCTCTGCATCCAAATTCGGAATGACTTTTCTTAACCTGTCAAACGCTTCGTTCAAGCCGTTCATTCGCCGGCGTTCGCGGGCATTCGCGGCTAACCTCCGTTTCTTCATTACATTAGGAGATACGGGCCTGTCTCTAATTACATGTCTTCTCCTGACCCGGGATGAAGTTTTTTTCGGCTCGACATTGTTGTTGTCGGTGTACGACGATCGCTTCAAAGCGAAGAAGTTAAAATTGCCGTAGGATTGCTTTTCTTGCTCCGATAACGAACTTAAATCGCTATTGGCGGAGATAAAACTGTCGTATGTGTTGACGTCGTAGATTTCGGGGGTTTGCTCGGTTTTGTAGTGGTAATACGTCGGCTGATAGGCCGACAGATCCTGAGAGTCGTATCTGTAAGCCCCCATTATATCCATCGTTGCTATTTTAGTTGGAACACAACATTTCTATTCACACAAACTTGCACTTTCGAGACTTCAGTAGACCAAGGTACTTTGACCTATTAAGGAAGTGTTTACGCAGTACTGGAAGGGATGATACTGACCTGACCTGTTCTAATGTCTGGCGCGTGCCACTACCACTTTTTTTTCGATGAGGCGATAGTGGCCTGAGTCGTGTGCCCTCCCTTTATTGCTCTTGACATATGGTGGCCTGTTGCCCGCTTTGATCCTTCTCTCTCGGAATTAATTAGTTGATGGTTTTGTGGAATACGGTGGTTGTAAAACAAAAGTATCGATATTTTTCGGTGGGTCATTTAATTTAACTTTTTTATTCGGTTAAATTAGTTAAATAAACTTTATTTTTATCTGTGATTAAACCTATTAATTAATGTTATATATTAAAATGGGTTGTTCCTTAGGGTCCATAAAGAGGCACCTGAAACTTTTTTTTTCTAAATTCCAAAGACTAAAAATAATTTATAATAACCTTTATCCTACCAAAAAGTACGCCACTGATCGACTAGGAACTTTAGGCTAATCTGGTTGCCTAATTTAATTTATTATGTTATGGTTGGTAACAACAGCGTTTCCAAATTCTGTCAAAAAAGCTGCCAAACATTGTTTAAATTTAGCTTAATTACAAAAATGACAAAATCAACATTGCAAATTGTCAATTTGGCGTTTTTAATAATTGTTTTTTATGTCATTTTTGTACTGAAGGTAAATTCAAACAAAATCTGCCAACTTTTATGACAGAATCTAGTGCATTTCTTTCAAATTTTTGGTTATGTGCTCAAATTGTAAATATCTTAATAGTGGGAAGTGGAACTTTAGGCTAATCTGGTTGCCTAATTTAATTTATTATGTTATGGTTGGTAACAACAGCGTTTCCAAATTCTGTCAAAAAAGCTGCCAAACATTGTTTAAATTTAGCTTAATTACAAACATGACAAAATCAACAATGCAAATTGTCAATTTGGCGTTTTTAATAATTGTTTTTTATGTCATTTTTGTACTGAAGGTAAATTCAAACAAAATCTGCCAACTTTTATGACAGAATCTAGTGCATTTCTTTCAAATTTTTGGTTATGTGCTCAAATTGTAAATATCTTAATAGTGGGAAGTGCTTTTGGATTTATTTACACAAATTAAATGTTTAAAGTTTAACCTGTGAACTGGTCCCAATTTCATCTGAGTAAACAGAAAGAAAAAAACCGATGAAAAAATTAATTTTGTGGTTATGGATTTTTTAAAATAGGTACTAAATTTACTAATCATTGCTTAAGCTAATAGCTGGATGAGGAGATAAATACAGAAGGGTATTAGAGCTTTAAGGGCATAAATCTTTTGTATTTATTGAGTTTTTATTTATTTTTTGCAAGACAAATTTTTAGTAACAATTTTTTACATCTGGCGGTTGGTATCTAATAGATACTATCTATGAACTCACAGAACACAAGTGTGCATAGATAAACCAAGTGTGTATCCAGTGGCGTATCACAAAAAATATAAAAAACTTCTAATGCATATTTTTTCTTTATCTTTGGAAAAATATTTTTTTAAAATTTTTCCTTTACTCCTTATGTCAAAAGGTATTCAGTATTTTAATATATAATTTATTAATTACATAACACCCTGTAGATGCTTGTCAATTTAATTAAAAGTTAGGGGACTGTTTAAAGATTAAGGGCTCCATTATCACACAAAACTCACAAACTATAGGTTTATATATTTTCTCGATTTTTATGTAAGAATGTCATATTCTCGCACGCAAAATCGTTGAAGAATGAAGCTCATTCTTAAACGATTTTTGGTAACATTTAGTTTTTAAGTATTGGTACCCCCAAAATGTCAAACTGATTAATAACCTCAAATTCATTACTTTTATTGAAAATGAAGCCTTTATTATTGTTTTGTAATATAAAGTTTGCTCCAACAATGCATTTTAATGCAAAATTTTAAGTTTAATGTGTAAAAGTGCAGTTCAGGTTGTACTTGTGCAGGATAACAAATATTGTCATTTTGTGTTGCCAACTGACATTTTGCGAGAAAAATCCCCTAACTAGCAACGACCACAAAACAATTAAAAAAACCTAAATAAAAGTTAAAATCGAGAAAATAGTATAAATCCCACGTTGCAGAAGGCTATTCTCGCACTCATTCGTTCGTCCACTCGCTCCTTCGTCGCTCGAGGCCAAATTTCGAATTCGTGCGAGAATATGTGGCCTTCTGCAACTTGTACTTTAATATACTATTCTAGGCAGGTAATAATTAAAACTGCAAAAAACTATTTTTTTAAGTAGTTTATTAATTATTAATTAATAATTATTTTACCAAAAGGTTATATTAAAAGTTAAACGAAACCAAAATATGTCTAAAAAAATAGCTAGTCTAACCAGGTTAAGGTTAAAAATAACTTTATGTAACTTCAAAAACAACCTACCTACATTTAGGTAAATTAAGGTTATTTCAAGATTTTAAATTGACTATAAATAAACCAAATAGGTATTTAACTGGTTAGTAATATGACCAACAGGTTTCTTATTAGTTAAATTATACTAAAAAATAACCTTTGAATTTACCTTAGGGTTAACTCATTTTGTTTATATAGTTTATGGAGAAAATTAAACAGTATTTTGTTATTTTGTTATGAGAACATAGATAATATAATAATTATACTGTTCCAGACCGGGCCAGTCACTTTTTCAAACAGTTTCTGAAATATCTGTGTTTTCTAAATTTGAATGCAAGGGAAGTGACGAGTATAGCAGGGTACTAATTAAATACATAATTTATTGGAAAATATAAGATTTATTGCAACTTTGAGCATATTATACATTAAATATCTTAAAATCAAATATTACCACACATCAGTGGCGGCTGGTGGATTGGAAATCTCAATTATTAGATATGGGACCCACACCAAATTTATATGAATAAATATGTGATATGAATCTATAATGACATTAAATAAACAAGTTCTGCGCAAGCAGAATTAAAATTGAAGTTTGCGAAAGATAAACGAAACATCGAACATGGAACTGACGACACGGTACTGATGAATGGGATACAAATTTGAGATTATAATTCGAAAATAAGTATTTTACTGATATTTTTTATTAGTGGATGCTACTTATCAACAAGTCACATATAGCCTTATATAAATTATAATGAAATATATACACAGTGTCCCTGAACGAAGTTTAAGTCACATTAAAATGACGCCAAAAACTGATTGCAGTTTCTTGTTCGGGACCCTTTGGTGAATTAAAAATGGTATTTACCAAAATCCTAGCTGATCCTCTTTTCGAAATTTTTTCAAAATTTATGATTTTTTTTTTAAATTTTTGTTTATTTCAAAGTCTACCTTTCACAGAGTACACATTTGTACACCGATTTTTATAAAATTAGAGTATATTATTGAGGAGACTTAAAGAATACTTTTTAATAATGTTCACATCATTTGATATATACAGGGTGGACCAAAAATCGCTTAATTTTAATAAAGCAAAAGCGTAAATTCATGATTTTGGCATAACAAGCAAAACAGATGTATCCCCATTTTTTTTAGATATTTCTATGTTTATTAGGTTACAAAATGGCATTCTTATTAACCTTTTATTAAAAAAATAGATTTTTAATAAAAATTAAATAAAATAACGCTTAGAGAATATTTAAAATGTTGTTTAATTTAGGCTTTTTAGAAGTTTTCAATTTTGAACGAAAAACTGGTTAAAGTTTTTTGATCGGAACTCTTTGGAGATTTAAAAACGGTATTTACCAAAATTCTAACTGCTTTTCTTTAAATTTGTTAAAAAATCATTTTTTTAAAATTATTTGTTTATCGCAAAGTCTACCTTTGTCAGAGTACAGATTTGTACACCGATTTTTATTGATTGCAGTTTCTTGTTCGGAACCCTTTGGTAACTTTAAAATGATATTTAACAAAATCCTAGCTGCTCCTCTTTTCGAATTTTTTTGAAAATTCTTAATTTTTTTAAAAATTTTTGTTTATTTTACCTTTGACAGAGTACACATTTGTACACCAATTTTTATAATATTGGAGTATATTGTTAACGAGATTTGGAGAATACTGTTTATACTGTGCACATCATTTAATATATACAGGGTTAGCCAAAAATCACGTTTTTATATAGTAAAAAGCATAATGCACAATACAAATTTATCTCCAAAAAAATTTATTTTATTTAATTTTATTCAAAATCAATTTCTCCTATAAAGTCTTGATAAGAATCCCATTTTGTAGCCTGATAAACATAAAAATATCCAAAAAAACATGGGTGTTATGCCAAAATCATGAATTTACGCTTTTGCTTTATTAAAAGAAGCAATTTTTGGCTAACCCTGTATATATTAAATGACGTGCACAGTATAAACAGTATTCTCCAAATCCAATACTCCAATATTATTAAAGTCGGTGTACAAATGTGTACTCTGTCAAAGGTAGATAAAAATTTAAAAAAAAAATCATGAATTTTCAAAAAATTTCGAAAAGAGGATCAGCTAGGATTTTGGTAAATATCATTTTTAAGTCACCAAAGGGTCCCGAACAAGAAACTGCAATCAGTTTTTGGCGTCATTTTTATGTGACCTAAACTTCGTTCAGGGACACCGTGTATATACGTAAGAAAATAACTACTCACCACAGTACTGAAATTTTGACTGGAACTATACGTGCATTCACCACAACTTCGCCGCTTGCATTGTTTTTAAGATACTCTCTGTAGGTAATTTTTTACCAACACTTGAGTTAAAACGAGGACTTGACGTTTAAACTTCAATATTTCGCAGGAATTTTGAATTTTAACATTGGACACAGAAGTGAGTACAAAAATTATAATTTTTTTTAAATTGCTATTATTCGAATGTATGATAAACTATGAAAAATACATTATTTAATGTTTTATAGTCTATAGTGAAATTGAAAAATTTAAGATAAATTGAATATATATTTT